ATATATATATTAATATTTTAAAAATTGGACTACCATTACATTGGAGATATTAATTAGAAATTGAGTTGAACATTAATTAAACAGTATGATACAATTTTAGTTGATTTTTAAAAATATTTTTATTGTATGTATTTTGTAATTATAAATTTGAATAAAATTTATATAATGCTTTTAAAAAGATCTCAAGCTTGTATAAATTTAAATGTATTTTGATATACGTATTCATATATTTATTACATATGTAAGTATAAAATTTTATGTTACAGCGGTGAGGTGAGTTTGTTACTTTGCTTTTATTTTAACTAACTTGGATTGTTACGTGTAATATTATATGATTTTTAAATTTATTTAAAATTTATAGATTTTATTTATAATTTTATTATGGAGTATTTGATTTATATATATATATATATATATATATATATATATATATATATTATATTATTGTATGTTCTTATGTGATTTATAGAGATGAGAATAGGTTTATATGGAAATATTTTTATAAAGGGGGTGAAAATCAAATTTTTTTTTAAATTAATGCGATAAAAATGTCATGTAACATATATATAAATATTCTTAGAAATGTTTATTATATCAAATAGAGTTTTATGATTTATAAGAATCATGATTTTTAGGATTTATGATTCTTATGAATCATGCTCTTCGGCATGAAAAATTTTTGTGTGTATTAAATGTCCTTTAATAGTGATAATTTATGTGTCTATGCATATAATATATACTCAAGCACACAGACTATTACGAAAAAAAATAATCTTATAAAAAAATAAGCTTTTTAAATATTTCTCATATTTTAAATAATTAATTATATAGACTAGTAAGTAACTCGTGCATATGAGTGAGGTTGTTACTAGTTTATATATTATTCTTTCGTATTTTTAAATTATGATTATTTTAAAATATTTTGTGTCTTATTTCTATAATATTAGAATTGTTTTTATCTTTATTTTAAAATAAAAAAAATTATCATGAAATAAAAATATAAGTGAAATATTGAAAATGAATTTAACATTAAAAAATAAAGTTTTTTATTCTTCATCTATAAAAAAAAGTTTAATATTTTAATTCATATTAAAATTACATATACTATATAAAATAATGATATAACATAAAATAATCAAAATTTCAGTTTTAGATAATAATATTTAGTAATCATTACTATATATTACACACAATCAACTATATATATTTTTAATTCATATTTTACATATAAATATTTATTATCACTTGATTTTTTCTTTTTGACTACATTTGTTTTGTTCACAAAAATTTGAAAGTCAGATCTCACTTGAGAGTCCAATTACCCTTTTACTCCAAAGGACAAATGCATGTTTGTTTGTATTTATTAGATAAAATTTTTTAAAAACAGCAGGAGGATTGTTTTTATTTTATTTTTTTTATTTTATAGGAGTGCAGTGCAAGAAGATATATTAGTCTTTATGAAAAGACTTGATTTCGTCGTAGCCATTTTAATAACATTTAAAAAATATTAATATTATTATAATATGTTATAAGAAAGTTGCATATAGTTATTTAAAAAATATATACTTTTTATTTTTATTTTATTTTTTATATTTAAGGAGTATAATGGTTCACTAAAAAGTGAAGATAAAAAATGGTTACATGTTTCGATATTTCTTTTATAATATAATAGATAAGGCAAAAATTTTGTAGAAATATAAAATATTTAAATGCAATAAAATATAAAAAATATTGATAATTTGATTTTATGTATTAAAAATTTATTTATGTAATTATTGTTAAAAATAAAAAATATTTTTTTTATTATATCATATAAATAAGTAAATTAGTCCATCAAACATAATAAACTTTATTATAAGTATAAATTAAATTTTTTTTATAATAAATATATATTTTTAATAATCTAAACTTAACCTTTTATAAAATAAATTAAATTAAATTAAACTTTAAATAGCTTAAACTATAAATCTTATAGAAAATTTGACGTATTCGCCTTCTTAACTACGGAAGAAGCCGTTCCTCTTACGTTTGGTGTGAGATGAGCATCTTAGTGTTTGAATATTCAAAGTGAAGGTTGGTGACACCTGAGTATTGGGAACAATTCAAGTCCCACATCGACTAGAGATTAGACAATTAAATAGTATATAAGTGAAAAGCAACCCTCACCTTACAAGCCGATTTTGTAGGGTTGAGTTAGGCTTAATCCACTATTCTAACACTGAGGTTTTTTAAGTTATCTTTTAAGTCATTTAATTTAATATTATCGGGAAAATATTCCCTCATTCTCATTACATACTTCTCTTTCATCGAATTTATCTCTTACATGTATTTTAACGTGTATAGTATACAAAATATTTGTTTATTTTATATAATTAAAATTAAAATATATAATAAATAAATATTTTTAACATATAATTTATTTTATAATTACAGATTTTTAATAAACAAATATTTTGAAAATAATAATAATAATAATTATTATTATTATATTACATATTTATGATAAGTAATGTATTATGTAATTCATAGTGAGATTATTTTGGGTACCTGTACTTCATTTAATTGGAAATAAATAATTAAATAAGAATTCATTTACTAATGGTATGAATGGTAGTGATCATACTTATCTGTATTCATACTTTAAAATTATTTAAATACTTGTAATTATATACAATAAATTAATCAAATTTATGTATAAATTTTAATATATATATATATATATATATATATATGAACATTTGTTGATATAAATAAAATTGTACATATAAAATGATGATGACTCCAATAGAGGTGATAGTGGAAAATGTGACAATGATAATAGTGGTGATGGTGGTGATGACCGCGGAGGATGTGTCAGGTCATTCCCCTCTTCCTCGAGTTTTTGAAAAAAAAAATAATTATTTTGTTATTTTTTAGTTATTAAATTATACTTTATTCTTTTTTATTTTTTTTAACTAAACATTAGGAGTGTTCATGGGTCGGATTGATTTGGATTTGAATAAAATGTAATTCGAACTAATTAAATTAATTGATTTAAATTAAAATTCTTTGTTTAACTCGAATCGAACCTATTCGATGTTAATTAGATTGGTTAAGTTCGGATCATTGGATATCTAATGGATTTTAAAAAAGTTAAATTAAAAAATTTCTTTTTCTAAAAATAAATAAATTTTCCAACATTAATTAAATTCATATAGTGTCAAAAATTAATTAAATTGGTAAATTTGTAATATAGTTTCTCTTAATTTATTTTTTTAATCTACTTAAATATTTCAAATGCAGATATGAAAATGACATTCAATATATTGTAATATAGTTCTTCTTGATACATACATATTAATTGTTAATCAAATAAAAAATAATCGAAAGATACATACATATTAATTATTTACCAAATAAAACATAAAAATATATAAATTAATTAATTTGGATTGGGTTGGTCTAGCTTTTAAAT